ATTTGGACCCTTACCTACCATGACACACAAAACTATAAAAGAAAAGTTTCAAGACCTTGGATTTTGCAGTGATGTCTGAGATATGACACAAAAAGCACAAGTAATAGAAAAAAATTAGGTTTCATAAAAAGTCTGTGTATTAACACTGAGAAGAAAAAGACAGTTATTACTAGTTGTTAGGAAAGTCTAGATCAAACCACAATGAGAGACCACTTTATATCCACAAGGGCAGCCACTGAATAAAAACAAAATATGAGTGTCGAGCAAGTGGGGAAATAGGAACTCTGCACAGCTGTTGGGGGTGTAAAATGGTGCAGCACTGTGGAAAACAGTTTGGGAGTTCCTCAGAAACTTAGAACACAGAATTACCATTATGACACAGCAATTCCACTCCTGGATATATACCCCAAAAACTAAAGAGGGACCTGAATGCATATTTGTTGGCCAATTTTCATGGCAAATTATACATGATAACCAAAAGAAACTATCCAAGTGCCAAAGAAGAATAAAAACGTGGTGGGGCATTTTCAGAGGTGATTGAACCTAGACTGTGTGATGCTGGGATTGATTCATGGTGCAATGCTAGGCTCAAGGACACTAGGATTAAGGGTGAGTGCTGCCTGCCGTAAGTAGCCTGGATGAGAAAAAGGAGCAGAGAGACACTGTTAAGGTTCTCGTGTTGCTTTTGCTGTCTTTGCCTGTCATGAAATGTTCTCCTCTGCGATGCCCGCCTGCCATGTGCCACCCTGCCTTGGAGCCAGCAGCTTATGGACAGAAACCTCTACAAACTGAGCTAAATAAACCTTTCCTCCTTTAACTTTGGGTGTCCGGTATTTTGTCTCAGCAATGAGAAAAGAAAGATGGTTTAAAGAAAAGGCTTACCTGGCAATGTGACTGAGGCCTTTACTACTTACTACTTGAATAAATCCTATTTCTTGAGAACAGCCCTTGTCCAAGAGTGGCAATGGCAGAGAGAGGCACACTTAGAGAGTGTTCTTGGAAACCCAAACACTGGCTGCTGGGATGCAGAGGCCCGCACTCTGCCAGCCCTGGGCCCCGTGGGAGGAAGCCCTCCGTCTGACTGCTGGTGTCTGGACCTCAGCTGCAGTCTTACCTCTGGTCGTAAGAGAGCGCCATGGCCCGGATTCCTGCATCGCAGCCGGGGTAGGCACAGAGCTGCTTGAGGTCCGACACCTGCCAGACCCTTACCACGCCGCTGTCTCCTCCCGTGAGCAGGTACTGCCCATCCCGGCTCAGCTGCATGGCCTGTGGGACACAGCGAGGCCCATTAGAGGTGAGGTTATTCCCTCCGGGTCCCCTGCCTCCCACTGTTGGGGTGGGGTGGGGGGACCCTTAGAGTTCTTAGGAAACTGACTTGTAGAAGACCTGCCATTTGTCAGAACCCAGTAGACAAGGTCAGGCGATGCCTGGGGTTTTCATTTTCTTCTTTTCAATTTTTGCTTTGTGAGGATGAAGTCACGGAGCCTCCAGTTCTCCAAATGCTAGCTGAACAGGTCCCTCGTGTGGATGGGGCCTGCCTGGTAGCATCGGCACCTTCCCTCAGCCCGCTGGGCCCTGACCACAGCTTCCGGCCTGGGGACAGCCCAGGTCCAGCTGTCTTCACCCTGAAGGTCAGCTACACTGCTGCCCCACAGTGCCAGGCAGTGGCCTTGGCACCCCCTGCCGTTCGGAATGGAAGGTGCATGCTACTGCTGTTTCTTGGTTTCTCTGCCTGGTTTTACATTTTTTAACGGTTGGAGGGAGAGTAATTTATTGTGACACATGAATGTTATAGGTTCTGAACTGGAATGCCCATAAATAAGGTATGAGGACCCAGCCACGAACATGTGTGACTACCTTCACGGGTAACAGAGAACACAGCCCGCAAGCCTGAAATTGTCCCGCCCGTGCCTTGCTAGAGCAGCATTCGCACTCCCGACACGAAGGCCCTGTGCCATCCTGCTCCTCCTCTACACTAAGTGACCCTGCGCCAGGCTCCTTCCTGAGGGCACAGAGCCTGGGAGCACCTGTGCCCGCCCATCCTGTCCGCCCGCACATCGTGGCCAAGGGCACACAGGCGGTGCCAGCAGCCACAAAGAACCAGCTCTTACTTCTGAAAACTCGCGCTGTTCTACACTCAAGAGTTTCAGTATAACTGTTATTAAGAATTACAGAAAAGCAGGCACACGTTCATCCCCATTTGGTTCAGAGAAATGGCAAGTTTCGCAGTCTCTCAGACACACAAATGCATCTAAGAACCCATGTGTGGGAGACAACTGTAAGATGTATTCTCTAAATCTTAGTGCTCAGTGAGTAAAAGTCAGTACTTTTGTGCCATTCATCTTACAGCAAGCTTTGGAGGCATCTGGAAAGTGCAATGAAGACTAGACAGAAATTATCTGTTACACTTGTAAAATTCAGCTGATGAAAATCCATTAACCTCATGGTTGTGGTTCACTCGAATTTTATACCTGAGGCTTTTTACTGGGTAATTGCTATATTAAAGCAAATTAAAACTATTAATCTTTAAATGTTCTAGTAAAGAATCTCTAATCTTCTGTCTGGAATGAAATAAAACCTGGACATTTAGGACTGTATCAAAAACATCCTAATGAACCAGGTACCTCCCAAGGTGAAAAACTATTTTGTAGCCTCTCAAGAGAGCCTGTGGCCGAAGCCATGAGAGCCCAGGTGGCGTCTACCTGCAGGGGTCTCCAAGCAGGCAGAGACAGAGGTTAGTGCCCAAGGTGTGCTGATCTCTGAGGAGACTGGCCTGGGCTTCTAGGAGGTACTTGCAGGCCAGCGCAGTCTGTTGGGGACAACCATATCCTAAATCAGTCCCGAGAAAAGGAAAGAAAGGAGTCCCTATGGGTGAAAGAGCGGTCATCCTTTGATTATGATGAAATAGTCACTGCCCTATACAGGGTGCCTACTTTAAGTTATTCACTGAAACACCTAAACCTTGTCTCACTGGTGCACTGTGATAGGCATTAGCCAAAATGCCACCGAACAGTCTGCTTGTATAGAAAAACAGGTGGGAAGCCTTGGTCAGCACAGAGCTTCCCCAGGCAGCCTGCAGGGCGCTCAGTATCTCCAAGCAACTCCATTTCTGCCCTTGGCTGGTGACTGGTTTGCTCCAAGCGCCTTTCCTTACTGGAGACCCTGCCCTGGGCAGCCACTTCCCAGCCGGCAGCTTCCTCCCTGGCTTCCCAGGTGGGGAGCTGTGAAGGCGGCAGGCGCTGGAGCCAGGGGCAGTTAGTTGTTCATTTTAAGCCGCTCGACCTCATCGCACAGTTGCCACTTGCAGGTTAGTATGATAAAGTGCAGGATGCCGGGGAAAGCGATGGATTGTTTAAACCCAGGATCCAGGGGGAGGTATTAGGGAGGGAGGAGCTATGGCCCAGAGGCAGACGGCAGCCTCCTGCTGGCCTCCAGGCCCAGCCTCGGGATTGGCTGAATGCCACAGGAACGCCTGGGGCCCTAGAGGGCCGTCAGATTATTTTACAGATTTATTAGTGTAGCTGACAATATAATCACAGCTCAAAGTGACAGATTATCAGCATTATGATTGTAAAGAAAAGAGGAAAGGAAAAGCCTCTGATGTGTACTTGGTTTAAGTGAAGTATTATGGGAAAGAAGGGAGAAATAAAAGCTAGTGTGCGTGTGGTGTACGCCTGTGTGCAGAGGCTGGTGGGATGCGACTGAGAGACCCCTGGCGAGCAAGGGACACAGGAAGGGTGCATGGGCGGAAAAGCCAGGGCTTTGAGGTGACCAGGGAGAGCCGTTTTGGAGCTCTTGTTCCTTGACGCCTCCTGGCCCTAGTGTTTGCACTCTCGCCCCACCACGTCTGGGGTCCCCTGAGTGTGCAGGCACGCGCACCTCCACGCCTCGCTGGAAAGTGGCGGTAAGGAGAGAGCCCCGCACCGGGGAGAGATGGGCAGGCCCTGCAAGCAGCTCCCACAGGAACAGCCGGAGGCCTGCTAGCGTGCCCGTGACCATTTCCCGGGTACCGGCACAGTCTGAGTGAGGCCCAGCTGCCTTACCCTGGCCTGTCTGGGTCCTGCTATCCATGAAGGAGTCAAGTCTCGCCTCAGCTGCTAACCTAAAACAACCATAATCACTACATGCCCACCTATAAACTGTGCAGAGCAGCCTGTTTTAGGTGTAAGCTATTTTAGCCTTGATACTCAGAAAGCAACAGTGGGCAGTAAATGTCCTTAGATTAAAAAAAAAAAATGCACTGCCAGGGAACGCTGCAGCCGGTTACCAGGCCCGCGTAGGGCAGCGGCCTCCCAGCTGGGGCCTGGGCTCCAAAGTGTCAGATGGGTGGGCATCCAGGGGCCCTTCAGGATGTCGTCTGGCGTGGAAAAGAGGCCCTCGACAGCTCCAGACAGGCTTCTTCAGGGAACCCTCTCCCCACGTGCTTACCACCCACCAAGGGAAACATCAAGGTAGCAGGAGAGCCTGCTAGGGACTCACCCTTATGTTGTCATCCGTGTCCACGCTGGCCTGGAGCTTGCCGTTCACGGTGAATGTGCAGAAGTGGCCATTCTCATAGAAGATGACGCAGTGACCCTCTCTGGAAGCCTGGATGAGTTTTGGTTTCAGGCAGTTTTCAGGACCCTCCAAGGTCCTTAGCAAGTCTCCATTCATGGAATGTACGAGGCATGGTCCTTCTGAGAAGAGGGGAGAAATCGAGGCAGAGTTGATTATGCAGTGTGACTCAGGGGCAGAGCGCTTGCCTGGCATGTGTTAGGCCCTCAGTTCAATCCCCATCACTGGAAAAAAATAAAACAGACAAATGTGATCTGAGTCTTTAGTGTGTGTGGGGTGTGCTAGGCTGGGTTACAGGTATGTGCCACCAAGCCTGGCTGTGACCTGAGACTGGAGCACCGATCAGTCAGAACCATAATGTCGCCCTACACCGCAGAAAGCTTTGTAAAAACTGTATCATCTTGCATGTAGGTTATTTTACATCGTGTCCTCCTCATGTTTGCCAGCTCTCCCCTTCCACGGGAAGAAGCAAGAAGCCCAGCTGTACACATTCCAGCTCACTTCTCAAGAGACAGGAAGTTATACAGAATCTCATTATCCCAAGGGGTAAAACAAACTGGAAGACTTCAGACAGAAGAACAGGACAACTTTCAAGCCGAGAATGTTTCCAGGAGGTCAGCACCACGGCCCTGGGCTCTGCCCTGTCACACGCCGTCTTCCTCCTCCCACTGCTCACCACCCTCCCCGGGGGAGCCCCGGTCACCCCTCACCTAACAGTTCACACAGGCTCCTTCTGCCACTTTCCCTTGGCAGTGAAGTGGTCCCCAAAGCAAGCAGCAGTGTCCCCACTGCAACTAACTCCCAGGGACCCCGCAGGGCCCAGACTGAGAGCATCAGTTTCTGAGCATCTGCTCCGCACAAGGCACAGGACTAGGAACCAAACTCTCTATGTGATGACTAAGACCCCAGAGGTAACAACTCAGGCTAGTGGGGTAATGGGTACATGCCCGCTGCTTTCCTCCCTCATTCACTTGTGGCCACATGGATGCCTTTCTTCCTGATCCTTGCTTGGCTCCTGAAAGAAGCCTTTGGAAATATGGCTCTCAGCTTTTCCCAGGCCATTCAGGAGTTTATGCCTTTTTAGTGATCTCCAACATAAATGCAAGCAGCCACTCTGCTTGTGCCCAGCTCCAGTGTGCATGAATTTTCAGTCATCATTTCCTCAGTGTCACTAGGCTCCCCAGAGAGCACAGTTAAACATTTGGTTATCACGTCAATTACAAAATACACTCCTTGGCTAGCTCCTCTCCACAGCCTACCACGTAAGAGTTGTGTGACAGAAATGACGACCAGTCACATCCCTTCTCTCCAAGTACGCAGGTGACTGGCAACCACAGTTCTGTTGTTCAGTTCATGCCTGGACAGCAAATGCTGTGGCTGTGTTGCTTCTTTGTTTCCTGGTGATAAACTTGCATGTTACTTCACAAAAACGGGCCATGAAAAATGGGTACTGGGCAACCAAGATGAAACTTAATGGAAAAATGAAAAGTGAAAAAGCTGAAAGTGAAACCTCAATTGAATATAACCACAGAAGAAACAGTTGTCACTGTGATGTGCACAGTGCTGAGACCCTAGATACACAGCTAGCACATGAGTGAATGGAGCTCAGTGATGTTAATTAGGGAAGTGCTTGTAACAACGTCTATGGAGTCTCTGAAGAAGCGATACCAGAAAGCCTCACATTAAGGGAAATCTAGTGGGCATTCATTTCATGGCACCGAAAGCACAAAAGATAAACAGTTGGAAGCTGGTGTGGACTTAGAAAGAAAGGGGACGAAGCCCAAAGTCCTAGGAAAGCTGCTCAGCCTTTGGGTACAGGTGGAGGGAAGGTGATGAGCACTGCTCAAACCACCCTGAGAAGTTTTTCACAAGGAAATAAAATGCTTTAATTCTTAGGGTTTCAAATTACAGCGTACTAAGTAAATGTTTTACTATTTTTCATGTTCTTACCCACACAAACACATAATACCAACTTTTTCAATGTTTTAACAAAAATTCTTAGAGGCCATGGAATAATCATAAAATTTCCCACTGATTGAAATCATCTGGCTTGGTTTGAGCTTGCACTGTCACTTTTACAGCCCTACAATGTGCAAAGCAAGGATGGCCAGATGACAGTCTCATTTGGATCACATATAGTCCAAGCACTCATATTAACTCAGCATATATGAAATTACTGACACAGGAAGGAAAAAATCCAATAGCTATAGAATTCTTGCTCAGTATTCCCATTCCACTGACCAACTAAATTTTTCACACAATCCGTTTACTGTTTAATATGCCTTGTTAGCTAGACTGTTACAGTTGGAGACAGATAAAATGACTCAAGTACTCTATGCTTCCCACCAGAGCAGCCTGGAGACATGAGATTATGGCACTGTTTCTGCTTCATGGAAGAGACAGAGATGGCTGGACGATTCCAGTGAGGAAGCACTGAACTGCAAACAGCTCTGTCCCTGATGAGATCTGGACTGTTAGATGTGCTCCTGGAAAGCTCGCTCAGTAGCTCTGGCCCGAATTGCACAGAGCTCAAGTACACCAGCTCAAGCGCCTCTCCACTCCCCTCAGTGCCTTTCTGGCCCTGCCTCGGCCCTAAGATTTGAAAGACAGGGTCAAGAGTTTCTGTCCAGGTGTGAGATGGAAACCAGTCCAATCAGAGGACAGAAAAATAAACAAATACACAAAGATGTGCCTTGTTCCTGCCTCACGGAAGTGAGAAAATTAATGGACTACTATTTGTGAAACACCTTAAACTCTACAGCAGTGCTGTGAAATAGTAATTTTCTACAGTAATGGAAATGTTTTGCATCTGGGCTGTCCAATACCATGGCAACTAACCACATGTGACTATGTAACACTTGAGATAGGACTACTGCCACTAAGGAATTTAATGGTATTTAATTTTTTGCTAATTTAAACTTAAATAGCCCTATGTGCCCAAGGGCCACTGTAACAGGCTAAAGTTTTAGAGAAAAGGAAGCAACTTCATCTTTGGTAGCTGGGTTTGGAAGACACTAAGAAATATCTCCATTTTACGAAGGCCTCAGTTTTACCTTGAGAACCACTTAACACCAGGCCCAGCTCGGCACAGATGGCAGCACACGTGACCTCGTAGTCATGGCCCGTCAGAATGGCCCGTGGAGTGGTGGTCTCACCTGCAGAAGACAGACACAGAAGACAAGTTTATGCAGTTCAAGCTTATACAGATTAAGCTTATGCCTAACCCTTTAACTTACAGTTTGAGAATTTGTCCAAAATCCTATTTCAGGACAGTTTTTTTTTTTTGGTACCAGGGATGGAACTCGGGACCTTGTGCTTGAGAGGCAGGCGACAGAACCACTGAGCTAAATCCCCAGCCCTATATGGTACAGTCTGATTTTGAGGACCACATGTTGCTAAATGTCAAGGAATCCTTACGGATTATCAAGTAGTTGAAAGTTCAGGGTTAAAGATGACAAAAAGCTGCATTCTAAAATGTCTCAGATACTTTCCAAATACTATAAAACGAGCCCCTCCAGGAGGGAGTTTAGGGAAGGACAATATAAAAGTAGGCACTATGGGGCTCGGGATTTAGCTCAGTGGTTCTGGCCCCTGCCTCGAAAGCGCAAGGTCCTGAGTTCGATCCCCAGAACAACAACAAAAAAGTCAGCACTGTGGCTTAATTTACATTTCAAAGGCAAGCTTCCTGCCCTCTTCCTCTGAGGGCCCTGAAACCCTGATGAAGACAGTTTTATGACGAAGACACTCTGACCAAGGATTCAGGATATCGCAAAGCAGTCCCTCTCTTAAATACCTGTTTACTCAGTGACGTGTTTTCCTGATGCATAAGTCATACCAAGTACAGTTTTCTATGGTTCAAAGGGCAGAGGATAAAAACCTAAGCCCTCACATGTAACTCTTCCAGGACCGACTAAAATTTAGGGCAAGAGGTGGGGAAGGGGACACAGAGGAGTAGCCACATAACGTGAGACATTTCAAAACATGTCCACAGGCAGATAGAACATGTCATCCTGTGCCTCTGTCCAGACAAAAAGCAACGCACACCACCAAGGGCTGCACCACAGAGAGGTGACTGCAATGGCTCTGGTTCATGACAAGTCACAAGGATCAAGTGGGTTCCACATTTAGCCTGAAGGGTACGAGTGTGAACGAGCCCTCCACCCTTACAGAAGCACCTTCACAGGGAAACTAGAGCAGGCTTCTGTCAGCATCCCGAGCAATGATTTGGACTTGATTTCATGGTATGACCATAACTCTACAATCCAGAAGGGGCAGATGTGCCCAGAAAGGAGGTCAGTAGCACGAGCTGTCCACCTCTGTGGAGAAGCACTTGTCATCCTCACCCCAGACACGCAGCTGTCCTGAGCAGTCACCCACTCTGGAGAGAGAGTGCTGCCAAGTCAGGGACACTTGCACTTCAAAGGGCAAATGAATACTGCTGGCACCAATGGAGCCAGCCTGCAAAGCAGGGGTTCCTGCTGGTGGGCCATGGGTTCTCTGCCACTTCATGCCAACTGCCTGTTCTGGGTGGTTCGGGAGGAAGGCAGCTCTTACTGACCGTGCTGAGACCCAGGACCCATGAGACACCAGGCATGTGCCTGTGGGAAGGAGCCCATCCCTGAGTTCCGGGCCCACCACCCGCAGCCAGAGGCCCTCGGCCCCGCAGCACATCCAGCAGTTCCAGCGTGTGCATTCACACAGCTGTGTCCCCAGTGTCCCTGCGGCCTGGTGACTAGAGGTGCTTCTGAAGGTGACTTAGGTCAGGCCCAACTCTGCCTGCATGCTTAGTTGTAAGGGGGATGCTGACAGACTGAATGGAGGGGTGAAGGGGCACAGAAGGCTTGGTTCCATCTGATTCCACGTCTAATGCTTTGGAGGGCACACCCCCCTTAGTTAAAAAGTTTGCCCAACATTAAGTGGATTAAAGATCTAAATATTAAGACAGAAACACTAAACTTGCTGGAAGACAAGTTAGGTAGAACTCTTGAAGACATTGGCATAGGAAAAGACTTTATGAGCAAATCCTCAGTAGCACGGGAACTAGCACAAAGAATCAACAACTGGGCTCTCATCTTATTAAAAAGCTTCTGCACTGCAAGAGAAACCACCAACAGAGCTAAGAGACAACCTTCAATGTGGGAAAAAATTTTTAGCAGCTGCACCTCAGACAAAGGACTACTATCTAGAATATATAAAGAACTGACAAAAATCAGACCCCCCAAATTGAAAGACCCAATTCAAAAATGGGCATCTGAAATGAACAGACATTCCTCACACAAAGAAGTAAAAGCACCAAATAAATATATGAAAAAATGTTCAACATCACTGGTTGAAAGATGCAGATGAAAACAACACTGGGATTCCACCTCACTCCAGAAAGAATGGCTATCAAGAAATCAACCAATAACAAATGCTGGCGGGGCTGTGGGGAAAGAGGAACCCTGCTCCACTGCTGGTGGGAGTGTAGACTGGTGCAACCACTGTGGAAATCAGTATGGAGATACCTCAAAGAACTAGGACTGGAAGTCCCATTTGACCCCGCTATTCCCCTGCTGGGGATCTTCCCCAAAGAATTGAAAGAATCATACCACAGTGATATATGTGCACCCATGTTCATAGAGGCACAGTTTGTAATAGCTAAAGCTTGGAAACAGCCCAAGTGCCCATCAACTGGAAACTGGATAAAGAAGATGTGGTTTTTAATAAAATGGAGTACTACTCAGCCATAAAGAATGAGAAACTAGAGACATTCATAGCTAAATGGATGCATATGGAGGCCATACTCCTAAGTGAAATAAATAAGACACACGTGTAAATACCGAATAGTTTCTCTGGTGTGAGAAACTGAAAGTGTAAATAAGGGTTAAAATGATTAAAATGAATAACTGATAATTTGAAATAGGAAAAAAGGTTCAAAGATGTAGGGGTGAAGGGAGGGGAAGGGGAAAAGAAAGAAGGGAAAGGAAAAATTATGAGAAAAGAAAAGAAATGGAAATGAAATCTATGTAAATAGGGAGGGGCGAAGGGGTGAAGGGTGCACAGGGAATGGGGAAAAAATAACCAAGATACATCATGTACAGGTACAAGCACCCAATGATAAATGTAAACATACTGTATACCTAAAATGTACCAATAAAAGAACTTAGAAAAAAAAAGTTTACCCAACATTGTCATAAAGCCAGTTTTTTTTCTTCAGAAGTCCACAACTTTGGAGAAAATTTTAAGGCAAGAAGCAAACAATGTATGCCAATCTGAACTACTTAACTTTGTGTCAGTGATAATTTTTGCCACAAAATTCAGAATATGCCATGCTTTAAAAAGTGAACGATACTTTAGCCCTGATTCATGGTATCTTCTTTTCCCATGAAGTTCTAAATTCCGCAAAATAGCATACAATGTTATTTTTGAAATTACTGTCTACATCTACCGACAGCTTTTTAAAATCAGCAATTAAAATTGTTAGGAGGTAAGGAATACACTCTGTGTGATTATCCTTTTTTGTTGGCTTTCCTGAGTTGCCCTTTTGTGAGGGGTGAGATTTGTGCTGGGACTCGAACTGCCGTGGGTTCCTCTGTGAGGCTGAAGGTCTGAAGAACTGATGGCGAAGGGAAACAATCTCCACTGGAGCAAAGTAAACAACAGGCAGATGGGTCCGGGGCCCAGAGGGCAGTGTCAGGGAGCACGTAGGCTTTTGTGCTCTACATTTCAGACTAGTTTCTCACAAGCACAGTGGAGGAAGAAAACAGACTGCTGTCAATTGCATCTCCTCCTTTAAGAGAGCTGAAATATCCTACTAAGACTTTTCTACGGCTATAAAGCCATAGTTTAGGCAGCTTCCTGATTAGCCCTAGAAAGTGGGCTAAGATGTAAGCATTCTTTTTTTGTAAACTCATAATTAAGTTTTTATAAGTATGTTTGACCTATAAAATACTAATTTCAAGAACCCAAATTATACCAAATCATTTTCACTCCCCAAGTCAGAAGACACATACAGATAATTCTGAAACTAAAAAAAAAGCTGCACTCCCAGCCCTCTTTCCTAGGGCCTGATATCTAAACAAAGACCTGCTTGGTGCTAGGACTTTGGCTTCAAAGTTTGGCAAAATGTTTTCTTATCCAAGAAACGGGTTAGGAAAATGGGGGGGGGGAGTCCCCCCAACAAATCAAATGCATAAGCACAGACTTTGGTTCTTTAGGTTCTTCTCAGGTGACTGGTTCAGAAACACTCGTTGGATTTCCCATAAAGAGATGTGCTCAACTCCCTGAATTTGTAGGAGCTGAACTTGCATGGCTTCTCAAAATCCTCGTTCAACAGCATCAGGCAAGAGATCATTCACTCTAACCAAAAGGGTTTGCACTCTTGCCTATGCACTCAGCTTTGTGGTCCGTTTCTTGTCTGCTCCATAGACTGAACATTCTTTCCATTTTTTCCTTGTCAAACAAGTATATTCAAAAGAAAGACCTGCTGGATTTTTGTAAATTCCAACAAACCAAGAGCTTTAAATATTAAAATTTCACTACAAAAAATGTAATTGTATAATATAGGATGAAAATCAAACAAATACAAACTGTTTAAGTTGAACAGACATTTGGGGAACCATCTGGAATGAACTTACTAAGGGGAGAGATAACACTGGAGCCAGAACATGGCCTTCCTGTGTGGCTCATGGGGTTGATCTTTTTACTGGTCACACCCCATACATACACTGATGTCCTGGACCATAGCAGAGTCTACGTGACAACAGCCCACATAAAGGAAAGCATTCCCCCTTTTCCTTCCACTTGTCAGCTCGCAGGGTGAACATCCAGAGGGAACAAACAGCGCAAATAAGATGATTCTGGCCATTTACTATTTTTAAAGATTCCGAAACTATCACCAGTCTCTCACTGGGGTCTCTAACACAAATGAAGAACAGGGAGGGGGGAAGAGTCTTCAGAAAAATTCAGGCTAAGTCTTTTGATTATGACTTGTAATAGTTAATGGACACAAACAGTTTTTATATTTGCTTGCTGGGATAG